AAAAAATGAAAACCCCCCCCCCTCCCACCAAAAAAAAAGAAAAAAATTCAAGCATTGTAGGATTTTGTAGGCTTTCTAAAAAAATTTGCGGTTATTTGACATTTTTAAACTTTTTCGGTTTATTTCAGAACTAACCAAATATTATGGGGGTTTGTGAAATTTACCCTCAAAATTAAACGTGATCAGTTTAGGGGGTGTTTGTTTCACCAAAAATTTTGGCATTTGGTATGAGTTACAAGTTTTGGGATCAAAAAATGAGTTTTTTTTTTGTATTTTTGGATTCAATATATGATGTTTGTTTTAAGAATTTTTTTAGAATATTGAATCTCAAAAGTGCAAAAAGTGCCCAATTTTTAGAATTTGCCAAATCCTCTCATCCTCTCAATTGGAGAGGATTTTGACAAGTCCCATAAATGTATGTGCTTACCTCTCAATTGGAGAGGATTTGAAAAATCATAATTTTATCTTTTTGTGGGAGGTAACCTCACCAAGATAGCATATTCATCATATTACAAATTTTTGGCAATTGGTAATGCTACAATTTGAGCTTGAAACAAATAAGATATTACAAATTATAGTATTACAAATCCCAAAATATTAATGAAACAAACAACATTTTAGAAATCCCAACCCATAACAAAACACCTATGGATTTCAAATCCCATGGTGAAATCCATATCCTAAAATTATAGGATTTGAAACAAACACCCCCTTATGAGAAGGATTTTCTAGATTTTAGCCCCTTACATCTTCAACAATTGTATATTAGTCCCTCACACCTTGGAAATTGCATATTAGTCCTTTAAAATCTTTAATAATTGCATATTAGTGCCTCAAACCTTAGAAATTGCATATCAGTCGCTTTAAACCCAACACCCCCTTAAAACAACTCCAAACTCAGAACAAATCCAAACTCGCTTGAGTTCATCTTCTCCAATGGTTAGCAAGAAACCCTAACCTAAAGTTGAGCTTTTCACGAAGGTTTGAAACATTAGAGAGAGGGGTAGAGTTTGGTGACCACAGATTTTAGAGTAGGATTTGAGGGACTGATACGTAATTTCTAAGATATGGGGCACTAATATGCAATTACTGATGATTTTAAAGGAGGAATATGCAATTTCTAAGATGTGAGGGAATGATTTACAATTATTTACCAATATTTAAAAGTGCCCTCATGATTTACGACGAGAGGCGAGAGGAGAGAAGAAAAAGGAGAGGGCGGGTAGAGAGAGAGAGAGAGAGAGAGGGAGAGAAGTGGCAAGTTGAGAACGAAAGTAGGAGGAGTGAGAAGAGGAGAGGAAACGAAGCAACGATGCTGCCACCACCGCGATCATCGCTCCGCCTCCATTTTAGGGCGCAAAAAATTGAAACGGACAGAGGACCAACCAGACACAGTAATTCGTGGATTATCTGCACTTTTCCTCCTCCATTACAGCCGGAAGAAGCAAGAAGCAAAGAGAACGACCGATCGACGAGAAAGGGGAGGGGGAGGAGACAGAAGACGAAGAAGAAGAACTTGGCCCTCGCTGAGGTCGCATCATGGCCGGGTTCGATCCCTCGAAGAAGGTACCGTTCCTTCTCTCTCTCTCTCTCTCTCTCTCTCTGTAATTCTTTTTGTAAGGTGAAGGTTATTTGCACTTTAATACCCTAACAAAGTTTACCCTTTGTCAACTTTTTTCACAGTTTGATGCCCTGAGGTGCAAAAAATGCTAGCCGTTAATTTTCTTCAAGAACATGAACGTAGATACAATATCTCTTACCACATTTCAGTTTTTTTCGGGTTTGGGGAAAGTGACGAGAGAGAGTTTGGGGTTTTTTTTTGGGTATCAAGCGAACTTCAATTATGAAAATTTTGGCGTGTCAAATCGTCGAACTAGAACTTTAGGGTCGTAACCTTAAACAAGGGGGAAACCATGGTGCGTTAGAGCGCAAATAAATCTACATGAAACTTAATGATTGTTGATGTGTACAATGCACATATTAAAAATGTAGAAAGGAAAACTCAATAACATTCCCTTTTCATATTGAAAAGGTGTGCTTATTTTAAAAGAAATGGAGGGGCAAAATTTGAATTGAAGTTGAGAGAAAGTAAAAGAAATATATATAATGTTTTTAAAGTGGAAGTGTGCAGATATAAATGTACCTGGTGGCATCCTCTGCAATACTTCCAAGATCATATGTATGGCACGAATACGGAAAACAATGACTCATTTTGTTCTTAAAATGTGCAACAGAACTCTTTCTACTTTCCGTTATGTGCCTTTGAGTTTTTTTTTGTCGGTTCAACTGCTCTGAAGAGAACCATTCTTTATTTACCCACTTCATTGAAATGCCTTAATACTTTATCTAATTTTTTAAGGGCGGTTGACATTGATGGGAGGACACATTGTTTGCACATGAAAATATAATATGGACGAAAATATTTGCCTAGAATGTATAATGTAGTTTTCAATCGTTCTCACACAACAAAAAGAAGGTTCACAAGTTCTTATAAGATTTAGGGATCAGTATTTAATTGGAATCTGCAGATGCTTTTTTGGCTTATAATGTCATAGTGCTTCAGTTTGAGGGAGTAACATTGGCGCCTTGCTGACATTGAGATATACATATATTTCTGTATCACAAAACTTAGATGAAACTAGTTGATCCAACTCTTGCCTGAGAGTAGAATGCACTTCAGAAAATCTGCGTAGCTAAGTACTATGGCACTTTTAATTGGATAAATACGTTTTGGTGCAAGCTTACTTGTATTCCAGTTTGAGATTACAAACACCTGTTATTTTGTTTCTTATAGAAACATAATGCGCAATTTAGTTCACATTAACATTTTGTCTTATTGCAGGGAAACATAAGCGTGGGTTCTCATGTATGGGTTGAAGATGCACAATTAGCTTGGGTAGATGGTGAAGTTACTAAGATTAGTGGTGAAGAGGTTCAAATCCAAACCAGCAATGGGAAAACGGTAATTCTACTTATGCTGTTATGTTTACTTACCTTAAGAAATTAGCTTATTTTTGGCTTGCAACATTTTATACATCTACTATGCCTTGCCTTCTAAGTTCACGAATGCTTAAGGCTAATTACATGGAAAATTGGCAGCCGCATTATATAAAAGGAAGGTGTTTTTTTTTTTAATTTGATATCAGGTGTCCTATATAGGCATGCCTTTCTTATTGGAATTATGCACACATCCCAAAGCTATACATCTTTCCTACCACAGCACCTCCGCTTCGCAATTCTCTTTTTTTGATAATCAATCGTGTGCAACCCACGATTATAGTTTTTCTTCCCAAGAATCAACTTATATTCATCTATGCTACAAGTTTTCAGTCATCATTGTCATCCACACCTATCTTCATCAAATTGAGGGCATGGAGCAGTGCTTCAGGAAGCAAGTGACCAAGTTTTTCTGGTTATTGATCTGGTAGGAACCATGTTGTCAGTTGCTGCCAAATTTCTTATTGTTAGAATTAATATAAATCTATAATCCTTGATCCTCACCATAACTTCAGAGTTTTGGTGTAATGGTTAGAGGAGCTCAATTTAAAATGGTATCAGAGCAACCTAGGTTCAAATCCCACCGGCCACGAACTGAAAGTGGATTTTCTAAAAATTGACACTGTTGTGTGAGTTCAGGTTTCGACCCATAAAAAAGAGCGCTCAACCTACGGGGGCATGTTATAATTAATATAAATCTATAATCATTGATCCTCACCATAACTTCAGAGTTTTGGTGTAGTGGTTAGAGGAGCTAAATTTAAGACTTATCAAGGCAATTATATGGAAAAATTACCTTGCAGAAGCTTGTTATTCAGATGGTGAATAGGTGGATATACCTCATACAACTATAAACTAACTGTTCAAATCTCCCTAGATTCGCAAAGAGTCTGGATTGAGATTTCATGACCAAATGCACTATGGGGATTTTTCATTTGTTCTCAAGGAAAAAAAACTATGGGAGTAAAATGCCATCACATCCTTTTCTATTTAAAATTAGATCCATTACCAAAATGTTCTATAAAATTGTTTTTCTGAATTTAGGAGTATTTGGTTGTAGTCAACTCTTGAGTGGTGTCTATGCGTCATTCAGTCTTCTTCGCATCCCATCCATATTTACAATATTTTTTTCTAGGCAGAAAATATCATAAATTTTTAACTAACATCTCTTATACAGTTTGTTACTCTGAATTTGCGTAGCATAACTCCTGTTTGGATCCGATTTAGTTGAAACTCATATGCAGTGTTGACTTTGCATACCACTAGTTCATAGTTTCATCAGATAATTTATATCACATAGATATATTGTGAAGTTTATGGCCTCCTTTTTTAAGTAATCACGTGGTGCAGTTGTGAATTTTTGTTTCTTCGCATTCATCTGCATATAACTTGTCTCCACATTTATGATGATGCAATAGATTTTGTGGGTAAGGCATTTAAACAAAAGAAATTATTTTTGGGAAGGGAACTTTTTCCTCATCAAATCTCACGATAAGGAAAACTTATGCCCTTCATATTTTGTTGTTAAACTCATTTTTACAGCTTAATGTTTGATTTCATAACTGCACACTATTTCACTTAGCATTCTCCATCATAGCGCTGAAGAGATATGGCTAAACAAGAATAAAAAAAGTTGAATTCACTGCTTTAGTTTGTCTATCTCCTCCTACAGCTTGCTCAAACAGCTCAACTTTTCCAAAATGGCTCAGAAGGGAAACTGGCCAACTTGCTTTACCTGCCATTTTTATGTATTCATAATAATGCAGTTTACCTCTTAGCCTTAGGTATTTGCAAAATCTTCCAGCTAGCAATACTAATGATTTCAAGGTTAGGATTGAATAAGAGTGCCCATATGAACAAACAAGAACTGAAAAAATGGTAGAAAATAAGCTTGTGAAACCAAGAGGCATAAGTTCAACCACAGGGTTGCTCTGTCTAGGATTGTCTCAAGAAGGACAAATAAGAAAGGAGGAAAAAGAAAGGTCTCTTTGTGCATTCTGATACATGGAAGTAACATAATACGTGTTTGATGTTGAACTTTAGGTCACTTCAAATCTATCAAGAATATATCCCAAAGACATGGAAGCTCCTGCTGGTGGAGTTGATGACATGACAAAGCTCTCTTATCTGCATGAACCAGGAGTTCTGCAGAACTTGGCAGCTAGATACGAACTCAATGAAATTTATGTAAGCTTTCAGTTCTTGTTACATTTTCTCATACATGTTTCCTTATAGCTATCTCATCGGCTTTTAACATTTAATACAATATTACGTCATATAGTATGAGCGGATTGCCATTGTTGTGACAGACTTATACAGGAAATATTCTTATTGCCATAAATCCATTTCAACGGTTACCGCATCTGTATGATCTTCACATGATGGAACAATATAAAGGGGCACCATTTGGAGAGCTAAGTCCTCATGTTTTTGCTGTGGCAGATGTTGCATACAGGTATAGTTATATTTCTGTTTTGCTGAACTAATTTTTTTCCTTCAAGAATGTACAATTTGCTTAAGCTGTATGTTGGAAATAGGGCAATGATAAATGAAGGAAAAAGTAACTCCATTCTGGTTAGTGGTGAAAGTGGGGCTGGTAAAACTGAAACAACAAAGATGCTCATGCGCTATCTTGCCTACATGGGTGGCCGTGCTGCAACTGAAGGACGAACAGTTGAACAACAAGTTCTGGAAGTAAGATTTGAGTTTATGTTTACCCCTTTATCCTTATCTCTATGCAATCTGCTTGTTAGCAGTTACCAAATAACACTTACTGGAGGCTTTGTTAACCAATTTTATTGCAGTCTAATCCAGTTCTTGAGGCATTTGGCAATGCTAAAACTGTTAGAAATAACAATTCAAGGTTGGTATTCCATATTGAGTTCATGTGTTTAAGAGAATGGATGTGTTCTTGACAAGGCTGGTCTACCTTTACTGATCACTCCCTACTTTCATTTTCCCTTTTTCTTTTGCAAATTTATGCAGTCGTTTTGGTAAGTTTGTCGAAATACAATTTGATAATAAAGGAAGAATATCAGGTGCTGCCATTAGAACTTACCTTCTTGAAAGATCTCGGGTTTGTCAAATTTCGGACCCTGAGCGCAACTACCATTGCTTTTACCTTCTCTGTGCAGCCCCACCGGAGGTAAAGCTCCATTTTTCTTAGAGTAGCACATACAAACTTCGTTATTTTCTCCCATGGTAGATAGCAAAATTTTCAAGTGGTTTTCTGCTGTAAGTTTTGAACAGCTTGTTTGAATTTATTTTTGAAGAACTACTTTGACTTCCCAGGAGGTTGAGAAGTATAAATTGGGAAACCCTAGGTCATTTCACTATCTAAACCAGTCAAATTGCTATGAGTTAGTCGGTATAAATGATGCCAATGACTATTTAGCGACCAGGAGAGCTATGGATATTGTTGGTATCAGTGCACAAGAACAGGTATCAAAATAATGATCATTGCATATTTCGTTTGTAGATAGATAAATGTGGAAAGCATCATATGATCGTTTCTGAGTGTGAGTTATCCCCAGGATGCAATTTTCAGGGTTGTCGCATCCATTCTTCATATCGGCAACATCAATTTCGCGAAAGGAAAAGAAGTTGATTCGTCAGTTCTAAAAGATGACACAGCTAAATTTCATCTCAAGACAGCTGCAGAGCTTCTGATGTATGTTGTAGTTTCTTTTGCTTTTTTCTCTCGAATGTATTTGCCATATGGTTGCACTTGACTTTGCCAAATTTCAGGTGTGATCCTCAGGCCCTGGAGGATGCACTTTGTAAGCGTGTGATGGTAACACCAGAAGAAGTTATTAAGAGAAGTCTTGATCCTCATGCTGCAACGACAAGCAGGGATGGTCTCGCAAAGACAATATATTCCCGTTTATTTGATTGGTAAGATGAATATCTGGTTAACAGATTATAATGTTTACAAATTATGTTGGTTAACAAATTATATAGTTTGCAAATTATGTAGTTTTAAATTATGCTATGTCAATATCAGAATCCTAACTCTTTCTGAATGGGATTCATTTGCAGGCTAGTCGATAAAATTAATGTCTCAATTGGGCAAGATCCCACTTCTAAGTCTCTGATTGGGGTCCTTGACATCTATGGTTTTGAGAGCTTTAAAGCAAATAGGTTAGTGTATTACTCAGTGCAGCCCAGTTTGATATTTAAGACACACCTATATTTATATACCATTCCTGTTTCATATGTTTTTAACAATTTTGCAACATTCTGTAGTTTTGAGCAGTTCTGTATTAACTTTACAAATGAGAAGCTGCAACAACATTTCAACCAGGTGAAATTTGCTTAACGGATATTTAACATGGTTGTTATTTTCTTATTTGGCTCTCACTGATAATTAGTGTCATATTTCCAGCATGTTTTTAAGATGGAGCAGGAGGAGTATACAAAAGAGCAGATTGATTGGAGCTACATTGAGTTTGTTGATAACCAAGATGTTCTGGATCTTATTGAGAAGGTTTTGTCTTCCTGTTTTGATGCAATATCAATTAGTGAAGTTATATGCATTTCCTGCTGTGCATGTGTTGTTATATGCATGTACAGGCAAGCAAACACCAGAGATTGGATTTTAAACTCTTCCCATTGAAGAGGCCCACTCAATACTATGATAATACAACCTAACTGTCTTCCTCCCAAACAGATTGGATTTCTCTCTTTCAACTGAAGTGGATATCTCAAAACAATGAGGATCACTGTGTTTTCTTTTACAATGATGATAAATATATGAAGTACAATCTGCCTCTCGTATACAGTAGATCCTTACATTGATAGATGAAATGATTTCCGTAGATGCTTCTTAGAGTGAATAGATGAAGAAAATAAATTCATAATGATTGACTGTAAAGAAACAAGGAGGTGTTAAAGAATCTATGAAATAAACTCTTGAGGAATGAAATATGATGTTTGAACATCTTAAAAGTTTGAGACTTAAATGCTAGAGAAAGTTGAAACTTCTGATCTCCTGTAACTAGTAGAACTTGTTGAAATAGAGGGAGAGAATGAGATTGCTTGATTAGCCCTCCCCTTTTTGGTTGTTATTTATAGTGGAGAAATAGAGGGTGAGGATGAGAAAATTTAATCCCCTATCCTCTTCGAGTATTATTTATTGTGGAGAAATTACATATTTAAGACAATGTGACACATTGTATCTACATGACAACTCCATGTTTTATCTAGGCACGTGGCAACTCCACCATGTAGTGCATCGTATCTATACTTGACAACACCACTGTATGGTACATTGCATCCTGACACACCTAATTTCTGGGCTCTCTCTCTCTCACTGTAGCGTTTATACATGCCCAGCTTGTCACATAAACACAAAAGACTTTTCATGAAATGCAAAACCATCAATCTTGAGTAGCTTCATCATTAATCGAACCTTGGGCAGAAAAACTGGGTTGGTAGAGTTAACAATAGTAATTTGAAGGTTCACAAACTCAGGAATTTTCAGACAAACAGTAGAGTCGTTGGCATGGAGAGAAACTCCGACATTGAGAAATGCAGTAAGACCTCCGACATTTCAACAATTAGTAGAGTATCTGACATTTCACATAAATATGTTTGAAACACTATGACCATTGTGGATCAGATCAGGTCAAGGAGGGCTGAGAACAATCAGCCAACCATATTTTTTTCTCGAGCAAGTAGAAAGGTGCAGCAGGTTGGCAGGACTAGTACAGGTTAGCTGGATCAAGTTCTGCCTACTGAAGAAGTAAGCCTAATTTGAATTTGACTTTCAAGTGGAGGGAAAAGCTATATTCAACATTATTTCTAATATACTCGCTGGTCAGAACAGTCATATACAATTATACAATAAGGATGGCAAATAAGAGCCAGACAAGGAACGTTGGTTGCATAGGTCTTCACATGGGTGCAACATGTAATCAAAAGATAAGACAGACATCTATTTCAATCTTAAGAAAATGAGTCTGTAGCCTAAATATCTTTCTGTACATTGCGTGAAAATATTAAACTGTGCACAAGATAAAATGACAAACTGAGCTGAAATACAACAATGAAGAAATGTGAGCAACAACTCTTGATAGAAGCCAGTCTTTGCCTTGGCAGAACCTGGTAATAAATAGGTCCAAATAGATTTGATTAATTCCTGTAAAATGAGAAATAGTAAAATAATAATATCAATAAAGTATTCAAGAGATAAAGGGTCAAGAATTGAAGGTTTACGACTAAAATATCCTAAATTGCTAAATCTAGAATCTTATCATGAATCACTTCACAATTTTTCTGTAACAACAAACAAAGCCATTATCCCAAAATTTTGGGGTCAACTATATGAATCCTATTATTCCATTCAATTCTACTGAGGGCTATCTCCTCTATTAACTGTTTCCATATCCTTAATTGCTTCTAACCAAGTTCTCTTAGGCCTACATCTATTTAATTCTCCTTGCTTGTTTGTTTGTTATTAGTTCACATAAGTGAGGCCACTCCCTCACAAACAAAGCCATTTTGGCTTGTCTATGATCTCATAATGTCTACACTTGACATTGTTCCTAATAAAAAAAAGCTAAGTTTAGCCTTGAAGTAGCTTGCTCCGATATGGCAATGATGCTCTTGAAAGGCTTGTAGTTTCATGCTTTCCAATCGCCTCCTTGTTGATATAGAAATGTGGCACAATCCACCCCCTGTGATCATGTTCCTTTGACCTACATCAAGACACATGACAACTGATTGGTTAGTTATCAATTTTCTAAAACAAGGTTTATGCGACATCATAAGAGGCAAACATATATTGGCTAGTTCTGCATGGACTTCAACCCTATGCGGCGAAAGAAGCAGTTAGCTCATTTAATTAAGCCCATGCAGGTTGTGTCTTTATATAAAATTACATGGGTGCATACAGCATCCTATCCAGCAAGGACAATGGTTTAAGGTCGGGTCCAAATCCAATAACTTTCCCGCGGATTCAAACCCTAACTAAGACCCTGCCACAATAAATATTTAAACCTCAAACTGAAGCTTCATTATCCTCACGTTCAATTACTGGTACCTTCCTCTTCAGAGCCAAATGTGATAGAGGAGATTCCATTTGTGGAAACGACCAGATATCGATATCCTATGAGTATATGATGATATATTGGTTATAACTCATGCAGGCATGGTGGGGGACAATATGGTGATTATCAGCAGAAGTATGTATTAACTTTTTGGCCTCTTTCCTTTCCTTTCTTCCAGTTCTTTGTTATTTTGTTATTTCGGTTTTCTTGTTGTAGTCGCAGATTGAGTAAGTTTGTGCCGATGATGATACCACTTCTTTCTAATATACCTCTAAAATCTAATTTCGTGAATTATAGCCTGTTGAGTCAGTTTCGTGTATATATTTTTCTTTTTGGACTACACACACAGCTAAAATTAAAGTCTGCGTACTTTTGCATAATCTGTTTAATCGGTGAATAGTTGTTTATGCATCATGTGTTCTCAGGCCGAATATATAATGGTATCACGTTTTAGAACTATGAGTTCTCTTGTATTTCATGACCCTTGTCATGCCTTACTGTCAGATGTTACATGATCGTTTTTTGCGGCTACTAAATTAGTGATCCTAATACTTGCTTCGTTAGTGGTCGACTAATACTATTACAGCTGTTATTCTCTTTAGAGTAACATTCCTTCTAATGTCATATAGTAATTAATTTTCTTCTTCTTCTATATTTTAACCTAAATTTCTAATTAATTCTCACAAATATTGAAGATGATCTTTTCAGAAAATATAGCTTTAAAATGTATGCATCTGAATTTGAGTTGCTATCTCTTGTTGGAAATTCACCAACTGTTGTTTCCTTTTTGCAGAAACCTGGCGGTATTATCGCACTTCTGGATGAAGCATGGTAAGATAATATCCTTCTTCAAGCAAAGTTACTCTGATTTCTGTCGATTTGTTTTCTGAGTAGGAACATTTTTAAGCCCCTTTATGTACACACACAAACATAGACAAGCCAAAATGGAACATGCCATGTATCCTCACTTATGTGAGGGAGTGGCTTATATCTACTTAATATGCTCTTGCCTCTTGTCAATCTAAACCATTTTTCTTGCCCCAAAACATAGAAGATCACACATCCTACTTAATGTGCACTACTTAACCGGTTGCAAAACATAACCAACTTTCAACATGGGTGAATCCTTGGGCCAAAAAGGAGTTACGGTCTCAAAACGTAGCAGTATTTCAAGTGGTAATTCCTTCGGGCCAAAAAAGAGTAATACATTTGGCATAACATAAGAACAGTACTAGGTACTCTTTCATGTCAAAGATATTGCTCCTATGTCAAAGTTACTGCTCTTTTCTTTTCTTTAACCAAAGGGCTTAAGCAAAATTCAAATTTTTTGTGGGGCTACCAAAATGCAATAAAGGTGGTTGAGCAAACAAAATTTTTTGTAGTAGAGACTGCTGAACTTACTGATTCTTAGAACTTCAGCTGTATACTGGTTTGCATTCTTCTCCAGTTACTGATAATTCAACTTTTTCCAGTATGTTTCCGAAGTCAACTCATGAAACCTTTTCTCAGAAGCTTTATCAGACATTCAAAGTGCATAAACGCTTTGTAAAGCCAAAGCTGTCCCGCACTGATTTTACGATATGCCATTATGCTGGCGAGGTCAGTAATTAGTAGTGATTACCGAAGTTTCACGTAACCTGTTGAGAAATGCGGTAATGAAATCATCATCTGTTCTATGCTATTTCAGGTCTTATATCAATCTGACCAGTTTTTGGACAAAAATAAAGATTATGTTGTGGCAGAACATCAAGAATTGTTGAGTGCTTCAAAATGTTCATTTGTATCTGGCCTTTTTCCTCCCCAGGCTGAGGAGTCATCCAAAACTTCGAAGTTCTCCTCTATCGGTTCACGTTTTAAGGTGCATATGATTTTATCCCCCTTTACTCAGAATTTTTTTGACTAGTGTTCAACAATTTTTGAGAGGTTTTAATATCATGCTACTAGTTGTTACTATTCACTTTTTCAATAAGTAGGGGTAGTTGATTCTTTTTGTCTATTTGCTGCAGTTACAACTACAGTCCTTGATGGAAACTCTGAATTCCACAGAACCTCATTACATCAGATGCGTTAAGCCAAACAATCTTCTTAAGCCTGCTATATTTGAGAATGTCAATGTCATGCAACAATTGCGCTGTGGTGTAAGTTAATTCTGACGTTCAATGTTGAGATTGGCCACCATCTGGCACGGCTACAATGTTAATCCATATTTCACATCCATTTCCTGTGTGCTTGAATTTTTTAGGGTGTCCTTGAAGCTATTAGAATAAGTTGCGCCGGATATCCTACCCGGCGCACTTTTTTCGAATTTCTCAACCGCTTTGGCATTCTCGCTCCAGAAGCTCTGGAAGGACAGTAAGTTTCTCCTTTAGTTTACTTCCATGGATTCCATTATCCTTTTACCACTGTCTATCATATTTCTTGAAATCTATTTTACTGTACATATTATTCAATATATTTTGCCATTTTTGTGCAGTTTTGATGAAAAGGTTGCATGCAGCAAGATTCTGGAGAAGAAGGGGCTCAAAGGTTATCAGGTGAATTCAGGATTTTATTACTTCCTTATGTTATATGTTTTTTAAAAAAAATAATGCAAAGCGCAGATATCAGGAGCTTTAACTTAATTCTGCCTTATTTTTCTTGTAATCTTCTGCTTGGCAGTAAACATTGTAGGATGTGTTTCTCATACATTAGACCAGTAGCATTGAGTGTGATGTTAATTTTGGTTATTTATTTCCCTTATTTGGTTTTCCAGATAGGCAAAACCAAGGTTTTCCTTAGGGCTGGTCAGATGGCTGAGCTAGATGCTCGAAGGGGTGAAGTGCTTAGCTGTGCTGCAAAAACTATTCAGAACCAAATTCGGACTCATATTACTAGAAAACAATTTATTACATTGCGAACAGCTTCTGTTCTTATGCAGTCATTATGTAGAGGTGCTCCCCCTACATTACCCACATGCGTTTTGTTTTCTTTTGTTTCAAAATTTTTTTTGATTGCCTTTTACTTGCAGGAAGACTGGCTTCCAAAATGTATCAACAAATGAGAAGGCACGCTGCTGCAATTAAAATTGACAAAGAATCACGTAGGTTTCTGGCTAAGAAGGCCTATACGCGTTTAAGGCTTTCAGTTCTTGTTATCCAAACTGGCCTTAGGGCTATGGCTGCTCGGAACGAGTTCAGATTTAGAAAAAGAACTAAAGCAGCAATCATGATACAGGTTGCTATGTGCTTAAACTCTATAATTAAGGAAATAATTTCTTAAATGTTACATTGTTTATGAACATCATCATGTATGAATCCTATTTGCAGACCCATTCTCGACGTCACAGAGCATACTCATACCATAAAAGTCTAAAGAAGGCATCTGTTGTCACCCAGTGCAGATGGAGGGGAAGGATCGCAAGGAAGGAGCTTAGAAAGCTCAAAATGGTCAGTAGTCACTGGACTAGTTTGATTTTGATGGCGTGCCTACTGCACTTGAGGTGCATCTTGATTAGTCTATAGACATCAGTTCCATTTATCATTGCTAGCATGTATCTTTTCTAGAAAAACATGTTGTGGAAGTGTGGGAATTTCATGATATATGTTTTGCTGTTCAGTAACCAGGATTGGACATTATGGCCACCTTAGGGGATTCTTTTTGTTTTCTTTAGTGAAGGTTAAAAAGGAAAAAAAGTGCCTTCATCAGGAGCTGAGTACTTTTGTGTGTGTGTGTGTGTTGGGGGGGGCGGGGGTGGGGGAGAGGGTATATGTGGTAATAGGAGCACTGACTATTATTCTGGCATTCCAATTTGGAAAGTTTGGAAACCTACATTGATATTACAAAACAATTCTTGAGACATGACATTTCAAGAATTTTTTTACCTATCCAACTTGCAATCAAGGTCCAACAGTAATTCCACTGAAGACAGAAATTTTGAAGGTGCAATATTTCTATTCTACTCTTTAGAGTAGATTGCTTTGAACCTCCAAGGGTATATTCATGAACCTCCACTAAAAGATATTACTCTTTTATATATCATAAAAGGTAAAAATACAGGAAACCTAAAATTTTTAAGTTTTTTTAGTAAGAATCAAGGATTGAGGAATCTGCTTTGTATAATCTGGTTGCAAGATGACATTTCTTGTTCCAGATATTAAATTCCGAAGTTGTTAACCTCCAAACCATTATTTGTAATATTTCCAACTCGAGTTCATTTTCACCTTAATAATATTGACGCAAATGTCAGCTCCTAATAAAATAAAGGCATAATGTAGACACCACCTTGGCTTGTAATTGTTCTATTATCTCCACGGGTACCTCTCCACGGCTATCGCCATATTCATAATTGTGATTTTAGTGATGCTATTAACATCATCGATTTTATCAACACTAGCTTGTGATTTCACCACCACAGATTTTTCTTACCAATTCATCACCATGCAATTATTGTTATTGCAACTAGTGCTATTTTGGATGGTACAATTACTTCTCCAGAATCAATATGCTGTCAGCACTGCAGAGCAACCATCCGCCTTGGGTTAATTACCGTCTTGATATTTTCTGTTACCAGCACTTTTGTTCTTGATGCTGCCTGTGCCATGACATCAGCAGTCTATTACCATAACGATAAGAAGCGACTGTGATTACTAATATCACTTTAATTTGTTTTCTTTATTTATTAAAATAATCGTATCCTTGTCACTTTTCCTGGTCCATATCAGTTTCACTGCTTCAACTTTGCAACCATTTCTTTTCATAGTCAATGGCTCTATCTTCACAAATTGGAGGTCAATGAGAACGATTAACCTTGTGAGGTTGGGAACACTATTCAGGAACTCTGATCAGTGTACTTGATTGACTAAAGTGGAAACAAGATTTCCAACAAGGAATTATATCTAGAATCATAAACTTCACATTGGACTTGTCAACAAATGTTATCAGAAGTTTGAAAAGTTGAGGTGTTGCTTTTGAATTGGCTATAGATTATTGTGAATTTGACACGTCTTGCTGTTGGAAAGTTGCTCAAGTCCTATATCTCATTTCCATTTTTGATTATCTGTATTTGTTTTGTGCAGGCAGCACGAGAAACTGGTGCACTCAAAGAAGCAAAGGATAAGCTTGAAAAGACGGTGGAAGAGCTCACGTGGCGTTTGCAGCTGGAAAAGAGATTGAGGGTACTATTTATTCCTATCCAATTTGCACTCTATTAGTTTAAATATTTGCTGGAAGATTCTACATTTCTATATGAGGCCAAAAACCATCATTATTTGTTTTCTTCTTTTTGTGAGTAAATTCTATGTTTAATTGCCTGAGTCATAAGTCATACGGAAAGGGTTTGGGATTGGCTTTGGAAATCACTGGATTTTGGGCTGCGGCCTTTATTCAGGAAAGGGAAAGGAGAAAAGAGATAAACTTAATTTTCTAGTTACAAATCTATGTCCACATTGTGTTCTATAACTACTTCCAGTCTTCCACATAAAATTTTAAATGGACTTGAAGAACTTAATAATTATTGTGGTTAGTTATGTCATGAACTCTTTTATGTGCAGACTGATCTGGAAGATGCAAAAGGACAAGAAATAACAAAATTGCAGAATTCACTACAAGCAATGCAAGCTAAAGTGGATGAATTAAATACATTGCTTGCCAAGGAACGAGAGGCCGCAAAGGCTGTTGAAGAAGCACCTCCTGTAGTCCAGGAAACTCAAGTTTTTGTACAAGATACTGAAAAAGTTGATTCACTTACTGCAGAAGTGGAACAATTGAAGGTATACTCTGCCTTTGCTCTTTTAGTGATTTTTCTTATTTCTCCCTGATACACCTTACTTTTTCATTCATAACAAAGTGGATCATCTAAAGATACTGATCGAATCTACATTCATGATCCTTGCTATATGCACTTCTAGTGGATTGTCATGACCATGTATGGATGCATGTCAAGCTAATGTCATACATTATAAAAAGGAGCCAATGTGATGTTATGTTTTCATGGAGGTTATATTGGTTGGTGGAATGGAATATGTATGACTAAATTCATTTTGCTGAGCATATAATTTCTTTGAATGCAAAAAGAATGCATGATTGACATGGATGCATGTCAAGCTAATGTCATACATTATAAAAAGGAGCCAATGTGATGTTATGTTTTCATGGAGGTTATATTGGTTGGTGGAATGGAATATGTATGACTAATTTTATCAACACTAGCTTGTGATTTCACCACCACAGATTTTTCTTACCAATTCATCACCATGCAATTATTGTTATTGCAACTAGTGCTATTTTGGATGGTACAATTACTTCTCCAGAATCAATATGCTGTCAGCACTGCAGAGCAACCATCCGCCTTGGGTTAATTACCGTCTTGATATTTTCTGTTACCAGCACTTTTGTTCTTGATGCTGCCTGTGCCATGACATCAGCAGTCTATTACCATAACGATAAGAAGCGACTGTGATTACTAATATCACTTTAATTTGTTTTCTTTATTTATTAAAATAATCGTATCCTTGTCACTTTTCCTGGTCCATATCAGTTTCACTGCTTCAACTTTGCAACCATTTCTTTTCATAGTCAATGGCTCTATCTTCACAAATTGGAGGTCAATGAGAACGATTAACCTTGTGAGGTTGGGAACACTATTCAGGAACTCTGATCAGTGTACTTGATTGACTAAAGTGGAAACAAGATTTCCAACAAGGAATTATATCTAGAATCATAAACTTCACATTGGACTTGTCAACAAATGTTATCAGAAGTTTGAAAAGTTGAGGTGTTGCTTTTGAATTGGCTATAGATTATTGTGAATTTGACACGTCTTGCTGTTGGAAAGTTGCTCAAGTCCTATATCTCATTTCCATTTTTGATTATCTGTATTTGTTTTGTGCAGGCAGCACGAGAAACTGGTGCACTCAAAGAAGCAAAGGATAAGCTTGAAAAGACGGTGGAAGAGCTCACGTGGCGTTTGCAGCTGGAAAAGAGATTGAGGGTACTATTTATTCCTATCCAATTTGCACTCTATTAGTTTAAATATTTGCTGGAAGATTCTACATTTCTATATGAGGCCAAAAACCATCATTATTTGTTTTCTTCTTTTTGTGAGTAAATTCTATGTTTAATTGCCTGAGTCATAAGTCATACGGAAAGGGTTTGGGATTGGCTTTGGAAATCACTGGATTTTGGGCTGCGGCCTTTATTCAGGAAAGGGAAAGGAGAAAAGAGATAAACTTAATTTTCTAGTTACAAATCTATGTCCACATTGTGTTCTATAACTACTTCCAGTCTTCCACATAAAATTTTAAATGGACTTGAAGAACTTAATAATTATTGTGGTTAGTTATGTCATGAACTCTTTTATGTGCAGACTGATCTGGAAGATGCAAAAGGACAAGAAATAACAAAATTGCAGAATTCACTACAAGCAATGCAAGCTAAAGTGGATGAATTAAATACATTGCTTGCCAAGGAACGAGAGGCCGCAAAGGCTGTTGAAGAAGCACCTCCTGTAGTCCAGGAAACTCAAGTTTTTGTACAAGATACTGAAAAAGTTGATTCACTTACTGCAGAAGTGGAACAATTGAAGGTATACTCTGCCTTTGCTCTTTTAGTGATTTTTCTTATTTCTCCCTGATACACCTTACTTTTTCATTCATAACAAAGTGGATCATCTAAAGATACTGATCGAATCTACATTCATGATCCTTGCTATATGCACTTCTAGTGGATTGTCATGACCATGTATGGATGCATGTCAAGCTAATGTCATACATTATAAAAAGGAGCCAATGTGATGTTATGTTTTCATGGAGGTTATATTGGTTGGTGGAATGGAATATGTATGACTAAATTCATTTTGCTGAGCATATAATTTCTTTGAATGCAAAAAGAATGCATGATTGACA